ATGAGAATAACTTTCCTATTTTCCTAAATTCTTCTCCACCTAATTCAAGGTTTAAATTTGAGATCTTTAATTTAAAATCTCAAATTCTTAACCATTAAACCATTAAACCACCCCCTTGAGAGCATAAATCTGGTTTGTTCTTAAGAATGGGGCAAGTAGGGTTAGAGGTTGTGAATACCCAAATAATAAGATTATTAATATATAAGATTATGAAAAATAATATTATTAATGTAAGAGATTAGTATTTTATAGTTCATCTTGCAAAGATTGCAAACACCTTAGACCTCAATCTCATGATCAAAAAGATCATTTACTAACACCTCACCAAAACTCTATTAATCCTGAGACTGAGGTGTTTGTAGTTTTTATAAGAAAAACTATAAAAACCCTTTTGTAATATATATTAACATATTTAACATGAACCAAACAGAACTAATTTAGTAGCATTCTAACTAACTATTAAATATAAATCAAGGAGTTTAGAGGAGTCAATGAACCAATGGTTTTCTTCCCCGAGTAAAGCCAAGCTTGGTGTGTAAGTTAAACCACATGAAGGTATCAAGTTTTGGAGTTCTTTAATGTCACTGATAGTGAGGGTCTCGAGGTCATAAGAAATAAGATGGCGACACATCCCTTTCTCCATTGTGATTAGTAACACAACTTGGTCATTTATCCCCATCCATAAAAGCCCTTGGCAAGGGCCAAGTTGGAGGCCAACTTCGGTTGTACGTTGCTTGCTCCAAGTAGAATTCTCCAGCATCATCCATACCTCAAATCAAGCAATTCCTTTGTTGAAATATTCCTGGGAATTGCAATCCACCAAGATGGATATTTTCCCCTTCAACTCCGCCCACGCCACGGAGAACTTTATAAAAACCTTCTTCTTCCCCAAAACAATTTGGTAATGCAATCTCTTTAAAGCTCTGCTCGATGAAATCAAATAGCAAGATCAAATTCTGGACATTGTTATCTTTGTTCTCTTTACAAACAAATAAAATGCTCCGTTGTAAACTAATGAATGCTTGCCAAAAAGGTAGCATGAACCTACAGAGTAAGTAAACTTATTAACAACTTTCCATGAATTTTTAACCTGTTAGTAAACTTGCACTTGTATCAGTCTTTTAGAAATAGATTCACTGAGAATTCTCACCACTTTGAAATCATTGGTGGAGGAATCATAACCAAAACCAACATCAACATCACATAGGGAGCCAAGGTAGAAACTTCAAGGAGGAGGATTGGGGAGAAACTTGAGTCTTTTGATGGAAGGATTTAGAACAAAAAAGCTGTGACAATCATAAGCTACCAACAATTTTAAACAACCACCAACCATGCAGGGATGTGTTCAGTATCTCTACATCTGAGATTAATCAAAGCTGCAGAGATCTTTTGCATTTAATCTGAAGGAGAAACTTTTTATTTGTTTGATTGATATGGTGAAGGAGGTCGAGGAAGAATTGAGAACTTAATGATAACCTGAGACCACAGCTTGGACAGGCATGTGAATTGGACAAGCGATTCTGCAGGCAATCTGGTGAATATGTCAACATCAATTCATTTGGTGACATTCTGTTTTCATGGGGTATGTAGGGAAGAAGAAGACAGAAATGATAACAAAATGCCTGGAAATGATAATGAAAAGACTAAAATATCTAAACAAATCAAAACAAAAGAAAAAAAAAATCATTAAGAATATTTAAACAATTACAGAGAGAATCTTAACATTTTGAATGACAAGGGGTTCTGATTTTTACCCTTCTTTATATTTTATGATACTAAATCCAGCACAGCATGCTTTATTTTATAAATGTACCAGTAGCATGCTTTTTCCTTTAAATGTTACTTGCTTGTTTCATTAAGGTCCTAAATAATCAAACTCAGATTGGACACTGTTTTTCTAATAGAACACATTCCATTCCAACCGAGAAAACACTCATACTCTATGACTATGACTGACATGCTGAAAGCACAATGGTAAAAAAGGAGTCATCAAAATATATAAACTGAATTAAACAAGACAAATAGTGTCTCATGAAAACCAAAAACAAATTGAGAAATACTACAACTACAATGTTAAACATCATACCATTCAGAGGTCCTCAAACCACTAGTTTTCAACCACTAGTTTTCTTCCCCAAGTAAGGCCAGGCTCGGTGTATAGGTAAAAGCATGGGGTGTCCGCTCCTCAACTTCATGGTCAGTCAACTCCAAGGTCTTGAGGTCACAAGAAAGAATATGGCCAACATTAAAAAGTGTTGACAGTAGCATAACTTCATCATTCATGGCCAAGCATATAGGTGCACGAAGCTGCCTCACATTGACAACAAATTGTCTAACCCAACCAGAATCCTCCATCATCCACAGCTCCAATGAAACATCCGTAGAAGAATTTACATCAAAATGCAGCAAGGATAGTTTTCCCTTGACTTCCCCCAAGCTATCAAATTCGCCTAGATCTTCATCGAAACAATATGGCATCTTAATCTCTTTAAATGTTTCATCAGTGAAATCAAACATCAAGATCGAGAAATAATCACTGATGACAGAGTTTACAAACCAATAAAAAGCTCCATTAACAACTACTTGAGGCTCATACATATCGTATAAAGAATTGGGAACATTACTAAGAACCTTCCATGAATTTTTTCTTAGCGAGTAAACTTGAACTTGTCTCCATCTTCCTGTAAATATTTCTTGAAAAATGATCACAATCTTAAAATCACTTGTGCGGGAATCAAAACCAAACCCAATTTCAGTTGAAATGTATGTTCCATCCACCGGCCCATCAAGACCGTCAGAGAGAAGGAAGGAATCCTCCAAATCGGGAAAAAGAACAAGCTTTAACTTTTGAATTGAAGGGTTTAAAATACCTAAATAGTGAATGGATTCAGGAGAAGTTGTCAAACACAGAACCCCGTTGCAGGAACCGACCATTTCCCACCGCCAATCAGACAGAAGCAGAATAGGTGGATCCAATGTCACCGGTTCTCGAAGCAATTGATGATGGCAGAAAGACAAAGATTGCAGAGTTAGAGGGCTCCCACTAATCTGAAGGAGAAATTGTTTGTTGCTTTGGTTGGAATGATGGAGGTGAAGGTGGAAGAATTGAGGATCGGAGATGGCCTGATAACACGACTTGGACAAGCACATGA